AAAAAAAAAAAAAAGGAAGTCCCTGCCTGACCATGTGAGCATTGTGGACCCTAATGATACTACCTACCAACCCTGCCTTCTTGGTACAGAAGGTTGGGAAGATAGAGCCACCTACCATGTTCTTCCCAGTTCCCACTTCTCCTTGGAAATTGGATCTGGAGTCTGGATGTTGCTTCATAAAGACATCTTTATGTAATAAAATCTTTTAAAAAGACAATGACAATGACAACAGAAACCCTTCAATAATAAAAGATACTCAATTTCATTAGTTATTAGAGAAATGCAATTAAAGCCATAATGAGATATCACTATATACCTATTAGAATGGACTGCAGAGCTGATGGGGATCTTAAGTGGAACAACCATTTTGCAAGTTAGCTTGGCAGTTACTTAAAAACCTAGACATATATTTATCGTATGACCCAATCATTCTACTCCTAGGAGATCAGGGAACATATATTCATACAAAGACTTGTCCATGAATATTCTTAGCAACTTTTTTGGTAATGTCTGGAAGCTGGAAACAACTCAAATGTCCATCAACAGGTGACGAGATAAACAAATTGTGGTATATTCATGCAATAGCATACTACTCAGGAATGAACAGTTGATACACACAAAAATGTAGATAAATCTGAAAATAACTGTACTGAGTGAAAGAAGCCAGATCCTCTCCCTAAAAAGAGAGATGTGCATATTGTATGATTTTATTTGTATAAACTCTAGAAAATGTAAACTAATCTATGGTGATAACAGATCAGCAGTTGCTGAGGGAAGGGGGCAGAGAGGAGTGAAAGGAAGGATTGCAAAAGTCCATGAGATTTTAGGAGTGATGGACATGTTCACTGTTCCGATTCTGGTGATAGTTTATGTCTATGTCAAAATTGACCAGTTGCACACTTGAAATATGTGCAGTTTACTGTATGGTAATTAGACCTCTGAGCAGCTGCACAGAGCTTTGTGCAGAGCATAGATCAGCACTGTGAGGTTGGGTTATGGGGCTTACAATGTACACATGTTATACTGCCAGCTAGTCTTCAGATCTCTGGCAATGATGAGTAGGTGTGCCCATAGGGTTTTAGGACATAAAAAACTATGCTCTAATGAAGTACTATTTTAGGATCTGAAAAATCTACTCTCTTATTAAGAGTAGAATATTATGTGATAGTATATCTGAAATACTCCGTTCTTGTATTTAAAAAAGCAGGCCTTCTGTGGTGTATCACTTTCTCAAATAAGTCAAGTCTTAGTACAGATGCTTTAAAGTTGGTACAGTGGTTCCTAGCTGACTCCTTTTGTTCCTCTAATGAACATACTCAGGTAAAGGTGATGGTTGACTCAGGAGACCGGAAGCGAGCCATCAGTTCTGTATGCAGCTACATTGTATACCAGTGCAGTCGGCCAGCTCCACTTCACTCCCGGGACCTGCACTCCATGATAGTAGCAGCCTTTCAGTGTCTTTGTGTCTGGCTGACAGAGCACCCTGATATGCTGGATGAAAAGGTGAATTTATTTAATGTTAAACCATTAAGGTAAAATAAAAATGTATACTGGGAAAATGCCTTTTCAAAGAGAATATCTAAATTTAAATATAGTATCTCACACTTTAAACTTGTTAGATTTCAGTAAAATACTTGTCCTTTGAGTACAACTTGAAAACTCTTACCATCCTTATATTTAGTGGCAAATTAACCCATAGAGAAGTTTTTTAGAAAGATGGGACCTCAATGAATTAAAATTCTAAAGACTATTCTTTCTTGAAGGGATGGTAGCCTTGAGACAGCTAGTAGGCACTTTGGTCATCTGTCACTAAACCAAGAAGGGCAGTTGACTGTCAGGCTGCAAACCTGGAGCATAGTTTGTCCCTAAAGGGTGTTTCTATCTGAAAATGCTGTTTCACATACATTTCTCCACTTTGAAGTGGGCACAGATGTCTAGTCTGCTTTCCTGGCCATCATTCCATGTAATGCTCTCCTTATAGTGTGGCAGGCATTATAAAAAAATCACAGTATAAATAAGAGATACCAGGGTCTTTATAGAAGCCTTTATATAATTATAAAACTAATATTGTTGAACTAATCTTAGTTATTTTCATTATGGTTTCTAAACTTATGATATCAGAAATTGCTTAAAAAATGTCAGTCACTGATGAGCTTCCCTTTGTAATATGTAACTGAACAATTGTTACGTCCCTTCACTTGCGCTTTCACGATTTGCAGTGCATGGCAATTTTACAAGGATTGTGTGACTGATAAAGTTGGATTGAATTTAACGTATCTAACTCTCTGAACACTCAAATTTAGTTCTTTCAAGAGGAATTAGAGAGGGTATAAAATTTATTATATTACAATGAAATTAATATATACCTATTAAAGAAAATTGGAAAGAAACTGGAGTACTTCTGCCAAAACACAGGCACTGTTAGCATTTTGATGGATTTCCTTCTCTATTTATTAGAAAGCTGTGTTACAAAAATTGGTCTGCTTCTCTTTCTTCTAGGACTGCCTTAAGGAAGTACTGGAGATTGTAGAACTGGGTATCTCAGGAAGTAAGTCCAAGAACAGTGAGCAAGAGGTCAAGTACAAAGGAGATAAGGAGCCAAACCCTGCATCTATGAGGGTAAAGGATGCTGCTGAAGCCACCCTGACATGGTATGAAAGTGACCACACAGGAATTACTCCTAGGAGTTAGATGGGGTTAGCAGTGATCTGTGTGGTTTCTTCTCTTCCCTGATTGCTTCACATTAATGACTGAGCCCCTTTTTCTCCAGAATTAAAACAGAAAGAAAAAAAATTTTTTTTAATTGTTTTTTAGACCAAAAGAAACTAGGAACTTGGGGCTGAGGGTTTTAAATCCCTGTTTTCTTTCTTTTTTTTTTTTTTTCTTTATGTAAAAACCCCATTCTTAGCTGTGAATCCTTGTTTCTCTACACTGGTTGATGGTAGTGCAAGTCCTGTCCTATTAGAGCTGGAAAGGGTCGTGGAGAGACTTGCTCCAGCCCCTCACTTGGATGGCTAAGTCCAAAGGCAGAATCTGTCTGTGATTTCCCTATTAGGTCTGCTGCCCAACACAGTGGTCCATATTCTTTACTACACCATTTATATAATGCAGGTTCATTCAGCCAAGATTTATGAACTGTCTCTTAAGAGCTGGTAATAGCATCATAGAGATAAATCAGACACAGCCACAGCATCACCACATCTACACCATCTTATCCAATAGGGAAGATAAGATGTGAACACAAATAGCTGTAACACTTGGTGGAAAATAAGTGTTTCAAGAGAAGAGGTGCAAATACATTGCTTGAGCATTGGAAGGAGGAAATGAGTACTTCCAGATAAGGGGAAATCAGAGTAACATTCCTAGAGAAAGTGACTCTGAGAAGATGGGTAAAGTTTGAGCTGCAAGACAAGGTGGTTAAGAACATACCAAGACTGCTGTTTTCAGTCATTTTGGAGGTGCAGTGGTAGAGACAGAGGTTGAGAGAGTTTGTGCTTGGGTGGTAAGTGAGGAGAGAGGAAAGAGGGAAGGAAGACCGTTTTGTTTATGGACTAAAGAGAACAGTTGTGTGGAAATTAGGGGGAAGCACGGTACAGATGGAAAGACGGGGCTTATGAAAGGATAAGTGTGGAGGAAGACCCAGAAAAGTTTTCTTTTAATTCCATGTTTTGGTTATATAATTTGTTTTTGTACAGATTGAGTCAAAGTTATAAGTGTGCCCTTCACTCAGATAGCAAGCACTGTGCTCATTAGGTGTGAATTTACCCATACTCTCCTCCCACTATACCCTGCTTGATTTTTGTTGAGTTTTACATTGATACGTACATATAAGCATTGATCAGTTAATTCCTATTTTAGTATTGAGTACATGTAGTGTTTGTTTTTCATTCTTGGGATACTTCACTTAGAAGAATGGAAGACCCAGAATATTTTTATGAAAGTACAAAGGAGGGATATTAAGTCAGTCTGGGTTGACTCATCTTTGTCTTAGTAAAATGGCAGACAAGACCACTTGAAGATTTGTCTGTAAACCGGCCCTTACCAAGATCCCACCATCTTCTGTGAGTTCAGTTGCTTACTTGGGATGTGCACAATTAAGTTGGATTTGTTTCTCTTCCTCACGGCTTAGGTCATTTGGTAAATTTTAAGAAGAGTGCGTCTTGTAGTTCAGTACTGTGTTCATGTTGGACTTTCAGTGACTTTGTGGAAGTTTGACTAATAGCTAGAAAACCAGAAAAGTGTGAGTTGCTGACACATGTTCCTATACTGATTTTATTACTAGAAGAAATAAAAGTTCAGAGAGAAGACCGTGTGGGCTGGGGTAGCCTTAAAAGTGTCATGAAACTAGAACTTGATGTATGCCTTGAAAACTAAGAAGGATATGGAGAGAAAGGGCAAGGACATTTTTCACTGGGAACTCTTCATTATACAACAGTAAGTTTGCTCCCTCCTGGCCTGAAAGGGGGGTTCTTTGAGAGCATGACTGGCAGTGAGGATTGGATTATGCCCAGGAGTAGAGAGATCCAGGATGCTTCTCCCTAACCTTGCCAGTAATTATCTTAGATGGCTCATCTATTTCTCTTCAGCTGAGATAGTATTCTCTAAAAATGATACCTCAGACTTGATTGGTGCCCTCAAGAGTACTGTCATAATGAAACACATGCCTAGCTAGATTTTTCTGTTGTCTCACAATTGTTAGTGGCGCTGCTGTTTGCTTGTTATGCCAGAACAGAAGTTTGGTTGTCTCTCTGATTTATCTTTTCTCTCATTTCCAGTGTAAAGCCAGTGACTCAATCTAGTAGACTTTATTTTTGTAAGGTGTTTCCTCCATCCTCTGTAACCTCAGGTAGCATACTAGTCCTGGCCCTCTTTACTTCTTGCCTGATTTCCCTGTTTTCATTCTCAACCTTTCCTGTTCATCTAGATTTCTATTTCTAAACTCATCACCCTTAAGCACAATTTTTTTTTTCCTTTTGAGACAGGGTCTCTGTCACCCAGGCTAGATTACAGTGGATTCATCATAGCTCACTGAAACCTCAAACCTCCTGGGCTCAAGTGATCCTCCTTCCTTAGACTCTTAAATAGCTGGGACTACAGGCGTGCATCACTGTGCATGGATAATTTTTAAATTTTTTGTAGAGACAAGGTTTTACTATGTTGCTTAGTCCAGTCTTGAACTCCTATCTGAAGCAGTCCCCTAATAGGGCTAGGATTATAGGATTAAAGGCCATCATCTGTGGCCTTTAAGCACTTTTTTTTTCTTTTTTGAGACAGAATCTCATTCTGTTGCCCAGGCTAGAGTGTTGTGGCATCAGCCTGGCTCATAGCAACCTCAAACTCCTGGGTTCAAGCAATTCTCCTATCTTAGCCCGCCACAATGCCTGGTTAATTTTTCTCTTTTTAGTAGAGACAGCCTCTTGTTTTTACTCAGGTTGGTCTCAAATGTTTGAACTCAAGCAATCTTCTCGCCATAACCTCCTAGAGTGCTAGGATTATAGGCATGAATCAAGCGCATTTTGATCATGTTGCTTGAGTGAGTGGAAACCTTGAATAGATCTCTGTTTCTTGCTTTGTTGTTTGAACTCATTGGTCAAACGCATCTCATCTGCTGAGGCAGGGCAGAAGGAAATTTCATGCTCACATCTGCTTATGCTCCTTCTCTGGGTTTCTCCGGGTTTCTCCCTGAGCCACATCCATCACTGTTCAGTGCTCGTATCAAATCTAGCTACCTCCACAGGACTTTCTTTGGTTATTCTGCTTCATGAAGATGAAGATGACTCACCTTCTCCTCTGCACTCATTCTGTCTGACTGTACCACACAGTAGGAAATTCTATCCTGTCGTGATTGTACCTCATTATATTTTATACATGCCGGCATTATCTCCCCAATCTGGGTAGAAGTCACATTTACATCTTTCTTTGACAACCCTCACAATGCTGAGCATGTAGCAGACAATTACAGAGTGTATAGATGAGCTGGTTGGGTTTTTTTCCCCTTGTCATACTAATACACATTCAAAATTGGGAATCTTAGAAGTCATTTCAACAGCCCCTTTGCTTGAGACATATTTACCAAGTTATTTAGCTTTTAATTTTCACAGTTGTCCATTTAAATTGCTAAAAACTTGATATGTTGGCTCCGTGCCTGTGGCTCAAGCAGCTAAGGCGCCAGCCACATACACCTGAGCTGGCACGTTCGAATCCAGTCTGGGCCCGCCAAAACAACAGTGATGGCTGCAACCAAAAAATAGCTGGGCATTGTGGCAGGCGCCTGTAGTCCGAGCTACTGGGGAGGTGGAGGTAGGAGAACACTTGAGTCCAGGAGTTGGAGGTTGCTGTGAGCTGTGATGCCATGGCACTCTACCCAGAGCCATAGCTTGTGGCTCTGTCTCTTAAAAAAAAAAAAAAAAAACTTGATATATTTTACACTGAGCTAAAAATCTCTCCCACTTTAATTTCTACCCATTGGTTCTAAGTCAGAATTTTGTTAGTGAAATAACTTTTGTCTCGGCAGCAGTAGTAATTGAAGGCAATGCTCATGTTCTCTGTGTTTCATTTCTGCCAGTACCTGAAGATATTTTTTATATTACAAACATTCAAATACCTTTATTACTCTGGGAATTCTAAACTATATGCCTCTTACAGGTGGTTTACTGTGTGCTATATTCTAGATGTGGTTTGATGATGTTTATACTCTGTAGAGTATAACTCTGTTTATACTCTGTTATTTTCATTACAGTGTACTCAGAGACTTATTGGGTTTCTGAGAACCTGGTGATGTGCGTTTGACTATATGCCTCTTACAGGTGGTTTACTGTGTGCTATATTCTAGATGTGGTTTGATGATGTTTATACTCTGTAGAGTATAACTCTGTTTATACTCTGTTATTTTCATTACAGTGTACTCAGAGACTTATTGGGTTTCTGAGAACCTGGTGATGTGCGTTAAGTCAGCTAAAATCCTTGAGTTTTTTTTCCTATGTTTACTTTCTAAATCTGTCTTTCTTATCCTGTACTTACTTGTTTGGGGGTATTTGAATGTAATGCACAGAACTTTACATTTAGTCCTGAAATTTCTTCATCTAAGATTTACCTCTTTATTTTCAATCTTTTAAGATTCTTTTGTATCTCAGCTCTCTGATATTTTATCACTGCAGTTTAACCACAGCTTTTTTTTTTTTTTTTTTGAGGCAGGGTGTCACTCTGTTGCCTAGGCCAGAGTGCATTGGCATCATCCTAACTCATTGCAACTTTAAACCCCTGGATTCAAGTGGTCTTCTTGCCTCAGGCTTTCGAGTAGCTGGGACCATATCTGGCCAATTTTTAAATTTTTGTAGAGACAGAGTTTCTCTATGTTGCTCAGGCTGGTCTCGAACTTCTGGGCTCAAGCAGTCCTCCTGTCTCAGCCATCCTAAGTGCTAGGGTTACGTGCATAAGCCACCATGCCTGGTCTATGAACTGCAGATTTAATAAGCCTGTGCTGCATGTTCTAATCAAAGATGTTGATAAAAATATTGAACAGAGATAGACTCACAAAACATGTCATAGGAGGATTTCCTTCAGGTTCACAGGAATCTTATCTGTAAGATTGTCATGATATACTATCAAATACTTGTATGTCTTGATTTAAGAGATATTTATCTGCCTTTCCAGTCTAGTTAAAATCCAGAAGAGAAAATGTAGTTAGGCTGGTATGATTTGATCTTAGTGACCTATTTCCTTACTTGCAACCTATATGATAATATCTTAGAATCTTGCATGGGACATGACCAGGTCACTTAGCCCATATGGTTTGCAATATCCATCTCTGTCCTGTTTTAGAAAACCAAAGCCACATTTTCTCATTATTGATACACTGGTATCTCTCCTACTTTTTGCAAATCTTTAGCGGCCTAAACTTAACATCAGGTTCATTTGGTTCTTGAAATTCTTAGTCCTCATTTAAGGAGGAGAGAAAATGGAAGGAGCAATATTGCCTTCCATTATCAGAGATCTTTGGGTTCAAGCCTTAGAGTAAAAGAATAGAGAAGAGGCCATTCAAGCTGAGAATTAAGATGATAAAAGTGGTGGTATGGAATATTGGTTTTCTAAATGAGATGCATCTGAAAGGTTAAGTGATATTTGAGCCATAAAATAAAATCTTTGTTTTAATCACAAGATACTTTTTCTTTCTCCTTCAGTTTCTTCATTCTTTTTTTTTTTTTTTTTTGAGACAGAGCCTCAAGCTGTCCCCCTGGGCAGAGTGCCGTGGCATTACAGCTCACAGCAACCTCCAACTCCTAGGCTAAAGCGAGTCTCCTGCCTCCGCCTCCCAAGTAGCTGGGACCACAGGCGCCCACCACAACGCCCGGCTATTTTTTGGTTGCAGCCGTCCTTGTTGTTTGGCGGGTCCCGGCTGGGGATTCAAACCCGCCACCTTAGGTGTACGTGGCTGGCGCCTTAGCCGGTTGAGCTATAGGCGCCGAGCCAGTTTCTTCATTCTAAATGGGAATTAGAATAGTATCTATCTTACGGGATTGTTATGAAACTATGTGAAATGATACATGTAAAGTGCTTAAAATAGTGCACATAGTAAGTGCTGTGTAAGTTTTTGTTATTATTAATTGAATGTATGCAGAAATCAATATGGATATAAACAAGTTTGAAAGTTCAGGCTTGTTGAATGAAATTCTAGTTTATAGAGCAGTTTTCCTTATATACTTTTATTTAATAATTACAACAGTTCTGTGAGATCTAATTCTTAGTTCCTCAAGTTCTTTATCTGTAAAATGAGGATAAAATCTACTCTTGAGCACATAGTGAGAAGGCAGCAGGCTCTGGTTTCTGGTCTCTTGACAATCACCTATGTTTTCTGAGCCTGCTTCATCTGAAAAATTAAGGGGTTTAGCTTATCTTTGAATCCTTTTCTGGGTCAAGGTTCTTTAGAATAATCCTAAAACCCAGAATGCACAAACAGGTTTTTTTTTTTTTTTTTGCAGTTTTTGGCCAGGGCTGGATTTGAACCCACCACCTCCGGCATATGGGGCCGGTGCCCTACTTCTTTGAGCCACAGGCACTGCCCCAGATTTTTTAATATATCCTTAGGATGTTCAAGTGGAAATGTTGTTAGTCATGTTACCTGGGTAGCAAACTCTAAAGAGAAATTTGCTTGCAGGGAGTTTATTGGAAAGTGCTCCCAGGATCAATCCCTATAGGGAAATGAAGGAAACAGGATTGGGTACAGGGAGGCACTTGCAACAAAGCACTCTGAAGCTGGCATGATCTTCAGAGTTCTTTTGGGCTGGAGAGCAGGCTGGGATGTTCTGCCCCTGAGTCAACCGTTCATTGCATGTGGTCTGTCCCAGAGGGAAGCTGTGCTCTTGAGTGAGATGGTTCTTGTTGACCATGAGGAAAATTCTGGAGAGGGACTCAACATCTCTCTGCATCTAGAGGAATGGGCCTTTCATTCTTGGAGGGGAAAATCTGGACAACACACCATGGCCTTCACTATGGGGAGAAAAATCTGACCTGTCAAGAAGCATGGCTATCCATTAAAATTCTGAACAGCAGAAGGACACATTACTGCGTGAGGAAAACTGAAGATTTTACTTTGATAATTAACTGTTACCTTTTCCATTCTCCATAGTATTATGCAGTTGCTTGGCGCATTTCCTTCACCCAGTGGTCCTGCCTCTCCTTGTAGTCTGGTGAATGAGACCACTTTGATTAAATACTCCAGGCTGCCAACTATAAACAAGCATAGTTTCCGGTACTTTGTCTTGGATAACAGTGTCATCCTGGCAATGCTGGAGCAACCTCTTGGAAATGAGCAGAGTAAGTTTTAGCACTTTGAGCCTTCTTACCTGCTAAGTCAATACATATCATCAGTTCCATGAAGTTATTTCCAGGATCAGGGAAGAAGATACTGCAGGTTCTAAATAATTGTGCATTTGTCAGAAAGACTTCCAGCTCTGCAACATTAGCACCTGAAAAATGGGGGGGGGAGGGTCAGAAAATAAAATATACATATTAAATAGAATCTTTAAAGGCTCTTTATGTCTATCTGAAGTGGCTCTGTAATTTTGTTTATTTGTTTGTTTGTTTGAGATAAGATCTTATTCTATTGCCTAAGCTTGTATACAGTGTCATCATTGTAGATGAGGGCAGCCTCAAACTCCTGGAGTGATCCTTCTGCCTCACCTTCCAGAGTAGCTGGGGCTACAGGCACAAAACACCATGCCTAGCTACTTTTTCTATTTTTTTGAGAGATGGGGTCTCACTCTTGCTCAGGCTGGTCTTAAACTCCTGACCTTAAGCAGTCCTCCAACTTTACCCTCCCAAAGTGCTACGATTACAGGCACGAGCCACTGTACCCATGGAATGGCTCTGTGATTTTATAAAAAATTTGTTTTAGTAGGATATTTTATGTTTTTATCATGGACACTCTTTTTTCCCGTTTGAACTTTGAGCCCTGCCCCCTCACTCACATTGTTCTATTTCAGTTATTGGTGCCATTCATACAAGCTAGAAATTTGACTTATCATTTTTGCTTGCTCTGTGTCATACTGCCTTACACAGGGTGGCCATAAATTTAAAATTGCAGCTTGGCGCCTATGGCTCGAGTGGCTAAGGCACCAGCCACATACACCTAAGGTGGTGGGTTCAAATCCAGCCTGGGCCCACGAAACAACAATGACGGCTGCAACTGAAAAATAGCTGGGCATTGTGGTGGATGCCTGTGGTCCCAGCTGCTTGGGAGGCTGAGGCAGGAGACTCGCTTGAGCCCAGGAGTTGGACGTTCCTGTGAGCTGTGATGCCACGGCACTCCACCCAGGGGGACAGCTTGAGGCTCTGTCTCAAAAAATAAATAAATAAATAAATAAATTTAAAATTGCACATGAGCTTTATGGCTCCCCTGTATAACTAATTTCTAAGTTTTCACCACCTTCCTAGTGACTTTTTTTAAAATTATTTTTTATTAAATTATAACTGTTAATTGATGCATTTATGGGGTCCCCAGTGACTTTTGAATCTTTCCTATCTTCTGTATTTATCTTAATACATCCAAATACAGGGCCTTATTATTTCTCACCTAGATTGTTACAGTTGTTTCCTATGTGGTCTGATTCCTCCCATTCCTAGCCCACCTTGCTAATTTCAAAATTAGTTTAACCTTATTTCTGTCCTGCTTGCTGCCTCCATAGTATTCATCCTTAAATACAGACCTGACCATACCAATGTCCTACTGAAAACCCTTCATTGATTTTTCTATTAATACAACACACACTGTTTTTCTCCCTTCCCTCCCCCTGCTTATAAACCATGTCGGAGTATGTGATTACCACCGCAACCCAAATACTCATAGTACATTTTTTTCCTGGTAGTAATTGGTATCTGCTATTATGTAAAGGAAGTGTGTTCCCAGAGAGATCCTTATTGCTGAGAAGGTGAGGAAAAGTGAAGGTTACAGAATCTGTGGCCCTAAAGAAACTCAGGGAGTCACCAGATGTACCATTCCCTTATTTATAGGTTAAGAAACTAATGCTCACAGAAGGTATTTGTTTTGGCTGGGATTCCTTGAGAAGTATATGGTATGGCTAGAACTCAGATTTTCTAAACCCCATATTGTCCTTTTCTGTTACTGCCACAATAGGATTTGCTCAGTGATTAAAGACTTGTCTTCTTGCCTTTGCAAAGGTAAACAGAGTCTTAATGTCCTGTGTCCATTGTGTATATAAGTAGGATTTCATAAATCCATAAAATGGAAGTGAAACTTTTCCCTGTAGTTTGGGATAAAAGAATATCATCAAAAATTTCCATCATGTTGTGGTGAGATATAGTGACATTAATGTGAAATAGAATGAGGCCTTTTATCATTGCCAACTCCAGATGTACCAGTCCCAAGTCTTTTCCACAGCTACTTCTTCCTTCTCGACCCCAGACCATGGCTTGCTTGCTTTCTTCCCTAGGCTTCTGTGTCTACTATTTATGATTCTTTTAGCCTCCTACTCCCAAGGCATATGCTAAGGAGTCTGCAGAATCCCAGTGTCCCCCTTGAGCTTCCTGGCCTTTTCCCAGGTTTTTCAGGACACCTCTACTCTCTTTCCAAGTAATTACATTCCATGAGAGGTCTACCAAAATATAAACAATTGGAATATATAAGGACATTTTAGTAGTTTATTCTAATAGTTAATAACAGAAGAAATGAGAGAGAAAAGTTTGAAAAAGCTCAACACTCACACCTGAGACAAAAAAACGAGTAAAAAAAAGGATCTGGGTTACTCAGGAATTCCATCCTGAGTTCTTTACTGCTGCTCCCGCCACTCTGCCCCTGAACTTCTGCTGGGGTGGAACAGTGCCTGCCTGTGGTTGGCAGTAGTACACAAAGGCGTGGGCAGATGTAGCATGAACACTGCAGACAATCTGTCTTTCCTATACTTAGGTTATTCTCAACACTGGGAGGTTAAGAGTGTTTGCTAGGACAGCATTTCCCAGAAATGTATATGTGCATCACTGGAGGTATATGAGATGATCTTAGTTGATACATTGGTAAACATTACATTATGTATTTTTTTTTTTTTTTTTTTGAGACAGAGCCTCAAGCTGTCCCCCTGGGCAGAGTGCCGTGGCATTACAGCTCACAGCAACCTCCAACTCCTGGGCTCAAGCGAGTCTCCTGCCTCCGCCTCCCAAGTAGCTGGGACCACAGGGGCCCGCCACAACGCCTGGCCATTTTTTGGTTGCAGCCGTCATTGTTGTTTGGCGGGTCCGGGCTGGGGATTCGAACCCGCCACCTTAGGTGTATGTGGCTGGCGCCCCAGCCGGTTGAGCCACAGGCGCCGGGCCCATTATTTATTTTTAAACATGTTTCTTAAAAATATATAATGAGGCTTGGCGCCCATAGCACAGTGGTTACAGTGCCAGCCACATGTACCAAGGCCAGTGGGTTCATACCCAGCCTTCGCCAGCTAAACAATGACAGCTACAACAAAAAAATAGCCGGGCGTTGTGGCAAGTACCTGTAGTCCCAGCTACTTGGGAGGCTGAGGCAAGAGAATCACTTAAGCCCAAGGGTTTGAGGTTGCTGTGAGCTATGATGCCACAGCACTCTACCTAGGGCAACAGCTTGAAACTCTGTCTCAAATAAATAATAAATAAATAACAATACATAATTAGAACACCAAAATTTATGATTTTTCCATTTCAAGATGCACAGTTTTCTTTTAAAATAAATGTAAATTTAAAAAAAAAGTGGGCTAGGTGCAGTAGTTCACGCCTGTAATCCTAGCACTCTGGGAGGCCGAGGCAGGTAGATTGCTTGAGTTTAGGAGTTTGAAACCAGCCTGAGGAAGAGTGAGATCCTGTCTCTACTAAAAAAGTACAAAAACTAGCTAGGCATTGCAGCACACACCTATAGTCCCAGCTACTCGGGAGGGTAAGGCAAGAGGATCACTTGAGCCCAGGAGTTTGAGGTTGCTGTGAGCTATGACACCACAGCACTCTACCAAGGGTGACAAGGTGAGATTCTGTCTCAAAGCAAAACAAAACATTAATAAATAAGTAAAATAAAAAGAAAGACTAGCCAGTTACAGTGGCTTTTGCATGTAATTCTAGTATTTTGGGAGCCTGAGGCAGGAAGATTGCTTGAGGCCAGGAGTTCAAGACCCAGCCTGGGCAACATAGTGAGACCCTGTCTCTATAAGAAAAAAGGAAAAAGCTGGGCATGGTAGTGCACTGCTGTAGGCCTAGCTACTCAGAGGCTGGACCTGAGCCTGGAAGATCGCTTAAGCCCAGTAAGGTAGGATCATGCCACTACACTGCAGCCTAGGCGACAGAGTAAGAACCTGTCTCAGTAAATAGATAGATGAAAGAAAGAAAGACAAGAAGGAAGGAATGGGAGGGAGAAAGGGGAGGAAAAGAAAAAGAAAGGAAGGGAGAAAGAAAAATAGTACTTCTGAAAAAAAACAGTACTTCTGGCGCATGGGTGTGGCATAAACCACAGAGGTGGTACACAAACAATCAAAGCTTTGGAAACAACTGTGTTATGAGAAGTTCTGCTCTTAATAATAGTTTTATTTTAAATGGTTGTCTGAAAGATAAACTTTTACACAAACATTTTATTCTAGATGATTTTTTCCCCTCTGTCACTGTGCTGGTCCGGGGAATGTCTGGAAGACTTGCTTGGGCACAACAGCTTTGCCTTTTACCCCGAGGAGCAAAAGCAAATCAGAAGGTACTTATCAGAAGTTACAGGGGAGTGATGACAAGGGGGTGTGTGTGTGTGTGCACGTGTGTGTTTTAAACAGGTACATGTTTTTTGATCCCTAACCAGTTTCTCAGTGGGTTCACATCAGAATCATCTTAGGAACCTAGAATTACTCCTAACAGCATCTTCAAGGCAAGTCTATCTTCAGAACGCTTTCCAGGTGATCCTGACATCCACTTAGGAGGAAGGACTAGTTTTTCTGAATATGTTTTTGCCATGTAATTTTAGATATAATAAAAGTCTGATAGATACTGTATATAAAAAAATAAATTTGACCAGACCTTTGATTTACCTAGCAATAGACTTAGTTTCAAATTGTTTTATATGATTCATTACTATATAATTGGTACTATGCTGTGTAATTTTTTAATCTGTAAAGTTAATGAAATCTTTTAGGGTGGCACAGTTTATTATCTGAAAAGTCAGATAATAAAGAAGAAATTTGAAATCACCTGTACCCATTACCCAGAAGGATATAGCCACTGTTACTTTTTTGGATTGGGTTTTGTTTTGATCTTTTTTTCCCCTTTCCTATGCAATAACACTTAAATGGAATGAGTTGTTTTGTGTGTTGTTCTTTTCACTTATTACATTGTAGGTTTTTACTTCTGTTACTAAAATATTTTTAAAAATATGACTTCATAAAATTTTATCAGCCTTTATGAGAAATATCCATGAAATTGGATCAGTGCCTAAGATCATTTACTATCCTAGGTGTCTCTGTTGGGTAAGATATATTTACCCATGAGGAGGACACCCGTTTTCTTTTGGTGGCATCATGCAGATCACATTCTGTCAGCAGCTCTGTAAGTGACTAAGTGTTTAAACTGAAAAGGAAAGTTAACAGGAAAGGAACTAAAATTTGTCGAGAGTTCACTATGTACCATATACATATTGAAGCATGGATTTGGAGCCATAAAGACGTAGATTTGATGCTCATACCCTCTCAATTAAGCCATGCTGAGGTTCTAACTGAACTCATTTTCTAGAGATGGCCCAGTAGACCTAAATTTGTACTTTATTATATGGAATAATTTGAGAGCTTTCTCAGAAGGAGGTTAGTTTGAGATTTAAAGCCCTAACTATAGTGGCTTACCATTCAGTATGGGAGATTCAGGCCTGCAGCAGTAGAAGTCCACAGCCCCTTGTCAATCATGGGATCTATAACAAGTTGATGGACATTTTTAGAAAAATAAAATAGAGTGCACAGATACCCAGGCTGCTTACTTTTACTGTTATCTATAGCATGTGCGGATTCTTAGTGAGTTTTTATGATATGTAATCCTTGGGAAATACAGGCATCTAAAAGACTGGGGAAATCTGTCTTATTATAGATAAGTATTGGACTGTCTGCAATAAACATAATGTTATTTGTTTATTTTAACAGCTTTTTGTGCCTGAACCTCGCCCAGTTCCTAAAAATGATGTTGGATTTAAATATACTGTGAAACATCGCCCATTTCCTGAAGAGGTGGACAAGATTCCTTTTGTGAAAGCAGACCTGAGCATTCCAGATTTGCATGAAATTGTCACTGAAGAAGTAAGTTAAATTTTTAGTTGTTCTTAAAGAGATAGATATGAAACATTCTTTTTTTTTTACTTGAGACAGAGCCTCAAGCTGTCCCCCTGGGTAGAGTGCTGTTTCATTGTAGCTCACAGCAACCTCCAATGCCTGGGCTCAAGCGAGTCTCCTGCCTCAGCCTCCCAAGTAGCTGGGACCACAGACACCCGCCACAACGCCTGGCTATTTTTTGGTTGCAGCCATCATTGTTGCTTGGTGGACCCGGGCTGGATTCGAACCCGCCACCTTAGGTGTATGTGGCTAGCGCCTTAGCCACTTGAGCCATAGGGGCCGAGCCAGATGTGAAACATTCTTAAATGACTTCCATGGTCAAGATAATACTGTTAGTGTTATTGAAGGTGATTTATAAGACGAATTTAGTCTCTGTCTTCTAGAGACTAGACTCTAGATATAGATTGTGGCTGATTAAAAGGAACTGTACATCTTTTACAAAGACATGTCGCTGGGCTACTTGGGGTATTGTAGGTTTCAATAATGTAGCAACACAATCAGACTCTGGTAGTGGAGTATATTTGGAGAATGGAGACCATGTCTGGGCTATGATGACAATTCAAGTCCTTAGGACGAATGAAGGACTATATCACAGAAATTTAATATATAAAATGTGGAGGTAGATCCAAGCAGTCTTGGATTGAGGAGGGAAGGAAAAGAGCCAAAGAATTTTAGATTTTGAGTTTATATGACAGAGAGATATCAGGGCATATTTACAGAAATAGGGACTATAGGAAGAAGACAGATTTGGGAATATGTGAAAAATGTATTTGGTTTTAGATTAATTTAGATAATTAGATTAGGCAATTGCTGTCTTAGGTCAAGGAAGAAGAATTTCAAGAAGTGTGGGAGACTGGTGTGCCAGGGCATGAGAGATCAGAAGGGTAGGAATAGAGGAAGGGCTGTATTAGCAAATGCTAGAGAGATCAGGGAGAAGGAGGAATAAGAAAAGGCCTCTGGATTTTGGCATGAAGTTGTGGGTGACCTTTCAGTTGTGGGGCAGAGTGTAAGGAGCTAGGAGTGAATGATTAAAGAGAAAGAGGCAGCAAATGCAGACTGTGCTGTGAGCAGTAAAAAGGAGGGTACCCAATGGATAATAGCGTAGGGAAATAACCTAATTAAGTCAAATCCAGGCTAGTTTTTTCTGCTTTCTTTTTCAAGGATGGGAGAAATATGAACATGCTTATAGATTGAAAAGAAAGACCCAGTGGAGAGGCCTTTGGTGACACTGTAAGATAGACAGGAGGAATTATAGGTGATAGAAGCAGCAGGGTCAAGAGTCGAGGTGGTTGTGTTTAGAATAGGAATGTTTCTATAAAACAGAAAGGAGAGGGTATATCAAGTTTCAGAGACATTTAGAGTAGAAATGAGAGAAATTGAAGAAGCTTATGTAAATTTTAATCTTAGTTCTTGGCAGAGTAATAGGGGATCAATAGGGGATCAAAGATGGTTCTTAAAATTGCCAGGCAGTCTAGCTAAGGTTAAATAGCGTCATTTCTAGTGAAGTTATTTAACTCATTCTGCTGACTTTCTTTAAAAGTCTTTGGGATCTGGGAGCCAAAGTAAAGAATTTGAATGGTATGGGAATTGACAGGAGCAGGAATTTGGAAGGATAAGGTTCCACAGACATTTTTTGTGCTTAAGGAGAGTATGTTAAGATGTTAATTGCAGGGGTGGGATTGGGAGTGGGTGGGTGGTTAGTCTCAGTTGAGAAGCAGATGAAGTCAGAAGGATGCTACAACCGTATGGGAAAATAGGGGGAGGGATTGAGTGTCCTACTGTGGTAAAGCATGAGCTCAGAGAGTGAAGGTATGGGAAACAACTGCAAGGGGGCTTATGATTAGAAAGGGAATTTCAGAATTACTGCCTTTAAAAGTAGGGCCTATCATGAGTGGCCAAAGTCTGAAGGTTGTAGAATTGTGAGCCAGCCTGTTAGAAGGTAGTTAGAAGGATCATCACACACCAGAGGATGGAATTTTAAACTAGGATTGATCTGAAGGGAAGGATGGTGTTGGGGGAGTCTACAAGAGTTACGGTCAAGGAATCGCATTTGGGTAAATACTTTAAAACATACAGGGCCACTGCAGGGTGAAAATAGACAGTGGTCTGGAAGGGGAAGCAACTACTTTGCCCCTTTTCTTGTCCATTTGAGGTACAGACAGAAGGCTTTTTATTCACAGCCAGGAGATGAAGGAGTGATTATTGAAGCTATAGGGAAATTGTTATGGTATTTGTTTTTCCTTGGAACATGCTATTGAACTGAAACATGTTTTCATTTTCTATGTTGCTTGTAGGTCTTTTTTTTTTTTTTTTTGAGACAGAGTCTCACTATTTTGCCCTGGGTAGAGTGCCATGGCATCTCAGCTCATAGCGACCTCAAACTCTTGGGCTTAAGTGATTCTCTTGCCTCGGCCCCCCAAGTAGCTAGGACTACATGCACCCTCCACAACACCTGGCTATTCTTTTGTTGTAGTTGTCATTGTTTTTTAGCAGGCTCAGGCTGGGTTTGAACTCACCAGCCCCAGTGTTTGTAGTCAGCACCTTAATCACAGAACAAGGGTATTGAAACTTGTGGCTCTATTTTCATGTTAAAATTAAGTTTGACCCTGTTACCTTTGTAATATTTCTAAAAATGAAAGATTTGGTTTATTTCAGTTGGAAGAGAAACATGAAAAATTAAGAAGTGGAATGGCTCAGCAGATTGCTTATGAAATACACCTTGAGCAACAGAGTGAGGAGGAATTGCAGAAGAGAAGTTTTCCTGATCCCGTTACAGATTGCAGGCCCCCACCTCCTGCCCAAGAATTCCAAACAGCCCGTCTTTTCCTCTCACACTTTGGATTTTTGTCATTAGAAGCATTGAAGGTAATTTTCATGAACTTTTATGAATAAATATATTTGGCCAGTGACAGTGAAAATATTTTTATGAGAGTAGAAGGCAATTTCTTTAAAAAGCTGGTTAAAATATTATTCTTTATGCAAGTGAATAAAGTTCTGTGCTACTTTAGGTTACAGCGTGAGCCAAGACAGTCTACCTATGAATGCATTCTGAGTTCTTCTGTTTGAGGTAACTGCACTGACAATACACTTAGCTCTGCATTTTCCTGGGTAATATAGGACCAATATTACACATATAAATGAAATCTACAAATGATTTTAAAAAAAAGTTCAGAATCTTCCCCTAGTAAATATTATTACTGAAAGTGTAAGCTACAATTGACTGTGCTCTTTCATGTCACTGCATTTTCATATTTATTTATTTAAGACAATGTCTTGCTCTATCACTCAAGCTAGAAAGCATATAGCATGTGGCATCATGCTAGTGGCATGATCATAGCTCACTGCACAGTATGAACATAAAAACTCTTAGTGCAGAATAGAAGAGCAGAGAGAAGAGAATAAAAAAAAGTATAGTGGTAAAATATGGAAAGCAAAGAAAATAGATTCAGCCTGCAAATGATAAATGATATTCTTGGTGTAGAAGCAATACATAAAAACATAGGGGAAGAAAATGATTGCATTGTATGGCCTACAGGGAGATAAGAAAAGCTGCACTAGCCTTTTCTCTAAGATTGTAATTTTCTGTTCATGTTACCTATTCTAGTTGAAATTGTTAAGCTTTAAAGATAGTAATTCTCATGCTTTCTCATCCGTATCAGAACATAGGAAAAGAATGATACCTAGTTTATTTTGTGAGCTTTACCATATGTCTAATAACTTAAACCTAATAGCACATACATATAAAAAAAACTACAAGCCAATCCTCCTTACAAAAATGTGAACAAAAGTATTAAAGGATTCTAATCAAACTAAATTCTGAATTAAAAAAAGAGCGTGTTGAGCAAATTACCTTCTATGACCAAGTAAGGTTTACCTCAGAAACTTGATAATTGTTGGGAAATATTAATAAAGGAATTAGGAAAATAACTTGATCCTACTAGCAGATCAGTCAATATTTAATAAAACAATATATTTTTTAAAAACTTAGAAATAAAGATCTCTTGAAATGGCAGCCCATAAGCAAACTTAGAAGTACCTTTTTTAAAAATCAGAGGTGCAGGATATGTACCTGGATGACTTTTTAACTTTTTAGTTTTAAATAATTACAGATTAGCAGAAAGTTGTGAAGTACAAGTACAAGGAGCTTTCCCCCTATGGTGGGACATTATATACAAGGTGGACATAAAGTTTGCAATTTAAATTAGTTTACTATTTATTTTTTGAGACAGAGTCTCACTATCTCCCAGCAACCTCAAACTCTTGGGTATAAGCGATTCTCTTGCCTCAGCTTCCCAAGTTGCTGAGACTACAGGTGCCTGCCACAACGCCCAGCTATTTTTTTGTTGCATTTGTCATTGTTGTTTATCTGGCCCAGGTTGGGTTCAAACCCACCAGCCCTGGTGTATGTGGCCAGCACCCTAACCACTGAGCTACAGGTGCTGAGCCTAGTTTATTATTTAAATTACAAATAAGCTTTATGTCCATCCCCTATATAACTGCAGTACATTATCAAAATGAAGTAAGTCAATGAAGTGTTAAAAGAAACTAAATGAAGTAAAAATCATTGGAAATGAGAAGATAGTGTACAGATAATCTGACTTCTAATTAGACAGCCTTAAGAGAATCAATAAGATATTTAAAATAAATGAGTTGAGACAACACCAAAAGTACAAAAATTAATGACCTCTGCTATTCAGTTAAAAACACAATATAAAAATACTCCATTTATAGCTGTGATATTGACAAAAGGTACCTTAACAAACTATTTATAAGACCCAGAGGAAGAAACCTTTAAAAGTTAGTAAGAGATATGAAATGTGTATGTTATATTCCTGGATGAGAAGATCATTCGGAAGAACAAGCTGAGGAAATACTTTAATAAAAGAAGTAGGAGGGCATATTACCTCATGAGGCGTATTACAGCGTACTACAGGTCCACAGTTCTTCTTCATAAAACTGAAATGTGCACATTTTTGTATATCTGTAGCAAATTCACTTAGTGGCAAAATCTGACCTGAGTTGATATGAAGCTATTTGTAGTTTTTACTTATTTCACTTAATGTGAATACTCTTCTCTTTGGCCATAGACTATTCAATTTCGAAATACTAATTTCTCTGATTATACAGGGTGTCACTGAAATTGCCCCTAAAGTCACTATACAGGGAAAATGGGAAATTATAGCTAAATGTGCTTTTATTTACAAAATATTCATTACAAAATACTCTTCTACACATTGGCACCTCTTTGTACAATTTTGACCATAGTTGATCACCTCCCTACATTGACCACATCCATAAATTGACCTAATTTTCGTACACTGGACATACCCCACATGTATATCAGTACACCATAGTCCTAGTTCCTTATGTTGACCACGTCTTTGTTATCCAGTTTGATACAGTCCTGTGGGTGGTCAACTTACAGAGGTTCTACTGCATTTTGTAAATAAATGTACACTTAGCTACAATTTCCCATTTTCCCTACATACAGTGACTTTAGGTTTGACTTTTAAGACATGCTATAGAGTAGTGCCCCAGCACTTGCTAGGCATGTTATGTACTAGACCAGAAGACTGGGCTCAACAATTTTTGTCAACATGAAAGAGAATAATTTTTGCTGTTTTTGGGGGATGGCTTTCTGAAAAATACAATGGTTAGCAGAACTATTTTTGGCAAGATCAAGAGCGCAAAGAAGATGAGGGATTACGAGGAAAACAAAACAAAAAATGCATTTAAAAAATTTTAGAGAAGTTTTTAGGTTTACAGAATAATTGAGTAGAAAAAATAGAGCGCTCCCTAAATCCTTCCCCACCTACTTCCCCTATTTAATATCTTGCATTGATGTGGTACATTTGTTACAATTGACAAACCTCTGTTACTGTTAATGAACCAGTGGTGCATTCCTAACTGAAGTCTGTAATTTACATTAGGATTCATTCTGTATAGTATACTTTGTGGGTTTTTACAAGTGTATAATGACACGTGCTTACCATTATAGTATTAAACAAATAGTTTCACTACCTTAAAAATCCACTGTAAAGGTTGGGTGCGGTGGCTCACGTTTGTAATCCTAGCACTTTGGGAGGCCGAAGTGGGTAGCTTGCTTGAGCTCAGGAGTTCAAGACCAGCCTAAGTACAGTGAGACCCTGTCTTTACTAAAAATGAAAAACTGAGGCAAGAGATCACTTGAGCCTAAGAGTTTTTTCACTTAGCAGTATGCATTTAACTTTCCTCCATGTCTTTTTGTGACTTAAAAGTCCTAATGATACCCCATTGTATGGATATGCCACAGTCAATTTATTCTTTCGCCTATTGAGAGATATCTTGGGCTCCACGCCTGTGGCTCAAGCGGCTAAGGC